CTTTTCTCACCCTGATTGAGACAAGATATCTGCCGCCACACAAAACAAATTCATAGTCACCTCTCTGAGATATTGAGTGGAGCGGAAAAGTAATTTTAGCCCTGAATTGTCACTACAGGTTGTCAAGAGAGTGTGGCAGAGAAAGCCACTTGTGCAATTTGAAACCAGCTCTGTACTTATGAAGGAGAAATGGGAACTCACGTAGGGAGAGAAATGGAGCATAGGAAAGAGACAAGGCTCAAGATCATTTATTTTATCTACTCTGACACAGCCGTAGTCCACCATAGTTTGTGCCGGCAGCAGTTGTCTTACATACTCTGGCAGCATCCCAATATGCCTGCTATCACGACTATAGGATGCATTATACGATTATCATAACCAGAGTCATACTGCATTGTTATCAGTATGCCAACAGTGCCTGGATGCAATGCTATTTTTAAATCATAGCTGAAATTATCCAGTTTGCAAGGGTCATGCTTTATTTGAATGTACAATTATGGCTATTAGCAAGCCATTAACTAAGACTTTTACCTCTGTAAACTAATAATTAGCTGATTATTAATAGTTAGTAAGATAATAGTTGGGTATAGGTATTGGATTACAGATGTAAAGTATTATCATACTTTGTAAGTAATAAATAAACAGTTAATGTATTAATACTAGGCAGGTAATAAACCAGTTATCAATAAGTGAGAATTGTTACTTAAAGGGTCCAGAGTGTATTTTTAAGGCTTGGTTGTGTTTATAATATGTAAAGCAATGTGTGCTCATGCTCAAAAACCTTTTTTTTCATATATCTTACTTTGATTATCTTCAGCTACTCAACTTCATGAAAACGGCTTTTATATTTCTTAGTTCTTTCAAGAGGCTCTGATTGGTCAGCTAACATAATTAGCTGTGATTTTTTGATCGGCTCCACGTCACCAGGAAAAGTGTCATGCCTCTAATACTGCCTCTAATACTGTCAGTCAGGGTAGCTGTTACCTTTATCAGTTTGAGCCTGAATTAGACATAATATGAAGAGGACACAGCTGAATATCATGCCTATTCTTCCTGAAAAGTGCTTTTCATATATATTGGATTTATAAGTATGTGTAAGTAATATGAAACATTTATGGCTGCATAGAGAGGCATAGAGTGAAGATTGTGGGTGTTTACAATGATTTAATTGATAATATAAAGCCAAATTTGTTAGCGGTGCCAAACAGCATTTCCCATTGTTTACATCCTTGTTTAAATCCTTGCTACAACATAACATTAACGCTAGACAATATGCATGTAATAGATCAATTTCAACAAATAAAACACAGGTTGTGGCTTAAACCCACAGCTTCGTCTATTATGTTTTGATCGGTTCCTTCTTTGAGGTTCCTTTCTTTTTAGCCAAATCCAGCACTGAACTGCGAGAGATTCTGGAAACTGTCCTTTGTCAAATATTAGCTATATATTTTAAAAAACATTTTTTTGGAACATTATTAAAGTTAAATTGTAAGCACTTCTCTCTTTGTATGGTGTTCTTTGGGAACCCAAATACAGAAACAGAACAAGCTCTGTGGAAATAGCAGTGTTTAGACACCATTTGCACTTTCTCTGCTACATTACAGCACCTCTGGCCAAGCCCCATTGCTGAGCGTAGTGTATGCATGTGGTAAACCTGAAGCATTTGTGATCTCACTAACCCAGAAGTTTTTTATTTTATTTTATTTATTTTTTTTTTTTGTGGTCCACAAACTTTGCTTGCTATAGGCTTTGCTAAGCTAACTCTGTAAAAGCCAATGTCTTCGTTTGCATTGAGCTTTAAGTGTATTACATTCAGAGATGTTATTTAAGTTCACACAGCTACATTACACATCAACTAAAGTTTAAAATATGGTATCTTAGTGAATCACCGCTTTAAGCTAAAGTGTTACTGGGTTTTCTTTACTTTTGATATTAGCACTAATATTATTACAATAACATTAGCTTAGCGTAAAACTTTCCTTATTCTCTTGTAGCAAGTCATTCTGACATGTGGTGCTTCAAAAGTATGTAACACAACAACCAGATTAGATAACACCAGGTACAAACAATAAATAAATGAATTAATAAATATCATTAAACTATACCGTCTTAATGCTTACTCATAAATCTGTACTTTCCCATTGCCCTGAAGTAGATACTTTTAGCATGAATTAGTATGCATCCCATGTTCCAGCCTTACGCTCTTAATTGAATTGCTTGGTTATTTACACCCTATGCTTTAAACTTCCATTCAAATGAAGTAAGAAAGAGCTCCAAAGCCTTTTGTTGGCATTTTATTTGCTGACCGAAGACTTCCAGGACAAGGTTTTGCCTGGCTAAGCTGGTCCTGACCATTCTCGTCCTGGTGATCCATCATGCCTTGCCCCTCCTTCCCTGTTCACTGCGCCATCAGAGTTCATCGCAACGGTTGCTTCTTTTGTTGACCTTGTGAAATATCGCCGCGTCTTCTGGTACTGCTAATGCATTCACCCGTAACTCTTGTTGTGTTCTTGCTGACTTGATCATTTCCTTGTCTCTTTAGCCATGGGGGGTATTAGTAAGCTAATGGGCATGAAAAGAAAAGTTGCCCTTTGGGCTCCGGATTTTCTTTCTGTTGGCTGAACTTTTTTTTTTTTTTTCCCATGGTTACTGTTGCTGCTGTTTTTTTTTCTGCAGTTCTTGTTTATTGTTTTCACACTACCACAATATTATTGGTGCTCAGTTATCAATGGTAGTTGAAGGAAATAAATTATTACAAATATATATATATATATATATATATATATATATATATATATTAGCTGTCATGACAGTACATAATATTTTACTAGCTATTTTGCTGGTGTAAATTTGGTATTCAGCCTAAAGTGAATTTAAAGGCTTAACTACAGTAGGTTAATAAGGCTATGTGTTAACTAAAGGCAAGTAATGCTAGGTAACAAGGCATGTTATTGGACAACTGTGGTTAACAAAAGGAAAAGCTAGGTTGCTGCCGGAAGTGGTGTTAGTGAGGCCAGCAGGGGGTGCTCAATCTGTTGTCCGTGTGGGTCCTAACACCCCAGTATAGTGAAGGGGACTCTATACTGTTTATTCAGCACCATCTTTTGGTTGAGACATTAAACCGAGGTCCTGATTCTCTGTGGTCGTTAAAAATCCCAGGATGTCCTTCGAAAAAAGCAGGGGTTTAATCCTGGCATCCTCTATTGCTCTGTTAAAAAGCTTATGGAAAATTTTATATTGCATTGTAAAAAAAATTTAAGCCAGTACAGCAAAAAATAAATAAATAAACAAATAAAATAAAATAAAAAATAAACTATTTTTATTTCCTTTTGCTTTTTCTTGATGTTTTTTGTACAAATTAATATTAATTTCAAATTACGTTAGCATTATTGCAGTAGTTTGGGGTTAGGGTTAGTGTAAGTTGACATGTACAAAGATTCCTATTGTCAGTAATATGTCTGTTTAGCAGCAGTATCAGCAGATATTAAGCGGACAGTCTACTAATACTCAAGTGGACTATCAAAATAAAATGTTACCTTTTGTTTTTGTTGTTAATAATAATGAGCTCGATTCGTTTGGCATATGTGAAACACGCAATCACGCTCTGATTCGTGCCAAATCAATCATTCGAGATCTCCTGAATGAGGTGGTCTCGGCTCGATTGTAGCGAACTCTGGAGCAGATCGATTGTAGTGAGGAAGCAAAACGATCCGAGCCTGGCTATATCACAGTGTATTATGGATATGTAATAGGCATATATGGCTATATGAAGAAGGAATTATAAGTGGGGCTGGATGTCATTCCTACCGGTAAATGTGCGTTTCATGTTAAATATGAAAGTGAAAGCATGCGGAGCTAATAATGAGAGCTGTTTATCCGTTAGGAACATTTACCGGAACTGCAATCTAACCAAAGGTTCTGTATGAAAGAGACTTACCTCTGATTTATATTTGGTGATGATGTCTGGGCATCACCATTCAAAATTAAAGTGTAGCTTTCCGCTTATAATGTCTTATTGCCAATCGCCATAAATTAAAATAAGGACGCATGACAGCTAAGCGGGACTCTACAAAATAAACCATGAAACTCTGATCAATGTAAGGAGAAATAACTCACACGTGACTTGTTTAAGCTGTTTTGGTATATTTAGAAATTTTGTTGTGTGGAAGCAAAGTTGGCAGGAGCTTGTTTGGGTGAACTTGTAAAGTTTTGCTCACAAACAAATCTTTTTAACTTGATTTGGGTTAAGTAAACATGTTAAATATAGTTACACAGCCATTTCTTTTACTGATTTTTGCCAAACCAACAAAAAAAAAACAAACAAGTATTTTATATATTTTTTAAAGTAGAAATGTTTTTTTTTTTTTTTTTTTTTTTTTTTTTTTTTTACATTGTATGCAAGTTAAGTAGTAAGACAAGTTACTGAACAACTGTGGTTAACAAAATATTAAGGGGACTAATAATAATGACCATTAAAATATACTTAAAATTGCTTTAATCAAAGAAATAATACTACTTCTTTCTACAGAAGAAAATATGCAACAGGAAATACTGTTTAACTATTATTGCTCTGTTAAAACCATATGGGAAATATTTGAAAAATTGTCAAATATAAATTGTAAAAATATTATATAGACTTATTAAAGTCAAATAAATGCTAAATTAATAATCAAATATTTATCAAACATTAAAGTAAAAATAATATCATTCATAACTATTTAATTATTTTTAAAATCTCCAAATTTCCAAATGAAAATCTACTTTGATTCTATCGGTGATCCTAAACTGCCAAAGATTAATCAAATCAAAGACATTTGTTTTCATACGGCGTCGGTTTAATTACCCTGCAGCCTTCAGGATGTTAATTTTCTGACGCAGTGTCTATAGTATTCCTTTGTGAATCTAATTTAATTACAATAATGTACACCAAGGCACAAGCTCAGTAATCACTGCTCCAGCACACATAAATTTACCATCTGCCGCAATTCTTTTCTCTGCAGCCATGCACCTCTTTGGACTCAACTGGCATTTGCAGCCGGTGCAGAGGCAGATATATCAGCTGACGGAGGACAACACCAGTGGCCTACATCTGCCCACAGATCTGGGGCTGCCACCTCTGGGTAACACAGGTCTAGAGTTTCCAGATCGAGGAAGCAGAGACGATGGTATGTTCAATGCTTATGGTTTTAGTTCAGTACTTTACAAATTTTTCATTATGGAAGAACTGTGAATATGTTGCTGCAGCCCTTTAAGAATTTTATTTGACACCTGTGCTTTATGTTGTTTCAACTCCAAAAGAATATGTATATGATACAGTATATAGACTTGTATTTGTTATAATTCTTTTTTTTATCTAAGCAGTTTCCAAATTGCTTCAATATGTTAATAAAAAGACAGATACAATAAAAATAAGAATAATTATTAGAAAATAAAATATATATTTTTTTTCACATTAAACAATGATCCATTAGCAAATTTTGCATAGTTTAAATTTGGTCACTAAAGCTTTAGCATGTGTGCTTGAATATGAGAACCATTGAGGTTCATTCTTGTGTCAAGCAGGCATGTTTGAGCTTTTGTTCATATTTACTGATCAATGTTCATTGGTGAATATAATTCCAAAATAAAAACTGTTGCTCATAAAAAAAAAAAAAAAAAAAAAAAAAAAAAAAAAAATAATAATAATAATAATAATAATAATAATAATAATGATTTTATTTAATTTAACTTTATTTTTATTTGTGTTATTTTTTTCTATTTTATTTTATTATTTTGTTTTATTTTATTTTATCTTATTTTATTTTGTTATATATATTTTTCTGTAATTTAATTGTTTATTTTATATTAATATTTTATTTATTTGTTTATTTATTCATTTTTATTTATTTTGTGTTATTAATTTTTTCATTTTATTTTATTATTATTTTGTTTTATTTTATTGTTTTATTTTATTTTGTGTTCTATTTTACTTTTTATTTTATTTTAATTATTATTATTATTTTATTTTATTTTATTTTATTATTTTGTTTTACAAACATTTTAAAGTAAACATAATCTCAAAATTATATGAATTTGCGTTCTAAAGATGAACATGTTTTTTGTGTGTGTTACTTTGGGGCAACATCAGCATAAACAGTGTAGGGACGTCCACACTGGGCAGTTATAGGAACAGGCCATCTCATTTTAGATTCATAGATCAGTCAATAGGGCTTTCCACTTCAGATAGTTACAGGAACTTAGAAACTAACCACCCAACCCTATTCTCAGATATCTCTTTTCATTGGACCATTTTCTTAGTTGAATTTGTCAATGTCACTAGGAACTTTAAAGTGACCTACATATAAGCCAGCCAAAAGCAACACCAAGCATGTACTTCTAGTTCTAAGAACTGTTAAAAAAGGCCCTAATCATTTTTATTCATTTTTGTGTTCGTTCATTCTTTATTATGTCAAATGAGCATTTACACAGCTAATTGACTAAAAGTAAAAGTGGAGTTAAATACTCAATTTAAATAAGAGCTCATTTAGTCCCCAGAAAATAAGTTCCTGTCTTTAAATCGGTCTACTTTCCAAACTGTTTAATGATCGTCTACATCAACATTAACTATATCATTAACTATATTTGCATCCACATAATAACAATCTGTACAGTTTAATAATTTTTGTGCTATCAATATTTATTGTCACATTCAAGCTCATTAAACCAGGTTGGATTCAGAATGGCTCTCAATGTTTTTCTAAACTATTATTATAGTTTCCATCAGCTGAAAGTACATAAGCTAGATTTCACTAGCTGCTGTGTGGACTCTTTTATCCTGATAGAATGATTATTAAAACTATTGTCATCATTGCAGTTATAATCCTTTGTGCGAACAGACTTCCTACTACACGTTCAAGCAATTCCCAGTGGATGAAACCGAGTTCTTCTCTACATTTTCTTGTTTACATATTTCGCTTCATGAATATGCAATCCCATGTTGACTCTGTGTTGAATTCTTTTGGGATTTGTCAAAAAGAGTAAATAGCAGCCTTGATGTGAAAGGCAGCAGCTCAAGAAGTTTAGTCGGATTTATTTATTTATTTATTTTCTTCCAGCCTTGATTAACCTTAGACCCCTTATTCTTTCTTTTTTTTTTTTTTTGGCCAAGCGTTTGAACTCATGCCCTTCAGTCATCTCATATCCGACAACCCATTCCAACATTTCAAGCAAATTTCCTGCCAGATTTGCATGAACTCATCTCCTGCTAATTTCGCTCTGCGTCGGCCAGTATTATAACGTCTTATTTTTGATTTTCAAAGACCTCAAGATCCAGAATTATTTGTCAGCCAGCTACACGCTGTGACCAGTCTCAGTCGCTTGCCATGAGATCTGCATTACAATCCACCCAGAGTTGCCGGGAAAATAGGAAGGGTATTATTTGCTCCTGGAAGAAGGAATGGCACAGCTTTAGGGATTGAGTATCCAGGGGCTCAAGGCAGATTAGAAGTTACCCCATCCAAAAAGCCATGCTTTCCTTTCATCTCCAAGACTGGACGAGAGTTTTCCTGGCAGCGGAAGAAAGCAGACACAACCCCCCCTGGCCATGGAGACGGAAGTTTGTACAGTAGCAAAAGTTCACTTCTCAGCATACACACACGCACACACAGGCCGTATTTAGCCATTTGATTTGCCACAGGCTTCGGACAAAAGGTGGGAGATCAGACCATTACCATATAGATGAGTCGGCGAGACGTCTTTTTTCATTTAGCGGCTGGCAGAGTAGGAGCGAGCGAAACCACAAACACAGAGTCTCCGCTTGAGTGACATCTGCGGCTGAGGGGAAATCGATAGGTCGGGCTTTTTAATTCGGACTGTCAGAGTAACATTGTCATCAGGAACACAGCGAATCAATCTGGTGTCACTGCGCGGCACATCCCTGGCATTAACTTAAATAAACACTGTACCGGAGAGGATTTCTGACCAGCTAAATGTTACGGCTTCTAGTCATCAGTTCAATTACCCATAAACATGTTATCTGGAAAGTGCATTCATGCATTCGCAGACTCTGCATCTGGTTGGTTCTGATTTGCAGGGGAGGATGACGGTACTAATTCACTCTGCAGGCATGAGGATTGGCCATCTGTGGGGGAATGTGATTTCATCTCATAATCAACAACAGCAAAAACAAAAGCAAAATGTGCCATCCGTTAATAATAGATCCCGCAAACATGTTCATTTGTTCTTTCATTTATTTATTTTTTTGGTTATTACTATTCTGGCGACGCAGTGGTGCAGTAGGTAGCGCTGTCACCTCACAGCAAGAAGATCGCTAGTTGGCATTTCTGTGTGGAGTTTGCATGTTCTCCTCGCATTTGCGTGGGTTTTCTCCGGGTGCTCCAGTTTTCCCCACAGTCCAAAAACATGCAGTACAGGTGAATTGTGTAGGTTAAATTATCCGTTGCGTATGAGTGTGAATGGTTGTTTCCCAGTGATGGGTTGCAGCTGGAAGGGCATCCGCTGCGTAAAACATTTGCTGGATAAGTTGGCGGTTCATTCCGCTGTGACAACCCTAGATTTATAAAGGGACTTAGCAGAAAAGAAAATGAATGAATGAATAATAATAATAATAATAATAATAATAATAATAATAATAATAATAATAATAATAATAATAATTATTATTATTATTATTATTATTTATTTATTTTTTTATTGTATGTGTATTAGTTAGTATCTTGATTAATTTGTCTGTCAATCCTTGGTTGTTTTTGTATTTTTATTTGGATTGAAGTGATGCCCACCTTATTAAAATGAATATGATTAATGGCATTAACATTGATAGTATTATACTAATATATTCCCCTTTTATTTGTTCAATATCAGTCATATTTGTGCATTTATTTAATACCAAAACTTGAATGTTATTAAACATATTTATATTATCAGGCTAGTCCATCCATTTCATTCCATCAGTTCGTTCATCCAATCCTATACCATCCCATCCCATCTTATCCAGCCCATACATTCATCTATCCAATTCATCCATCCATCCATTCCAAAACCAATATATCCATCCATTCATCCATCCATCCATCCATCCAAATCCAAAAAAAATCCATTCGTCCATTTATCCATTCCAATCTAAATTCAAAACCAATCCAAATCCAAAACCAATCCATCCATTGATCCGTTCATCCATCCATCCATCCATCCATCCATCCATCCATCCATCCATCCATTCATCCATCCATCCATCCATCCATCCATCTATCCATCCATCCATCCATTTGTCCTTCCCAATCCAATGCAATCTGTCCATTTATCCATCTCAATCCATCCATCCAATCAAAATCCATTCCAATCTAGTCCATCCAATACAATCCATCACCATCCCAATTTATATTATCAGGCTAGTCCATCCATTTCATTCCATCAGTTCGTTCATCCAATCCTATACCATCCCATCCCATCTTATCCAGCCCATACATTCATCTATCCAATTCATCCATCCATCCATTCCAAAACCAATATATCCATCCATTCATCCATCCATCCATCCATCCAAATCCAAAAAAAATCCATTCGTCCATTTATCCATTCCAATCTAAATTCAAAACCAATCCAAATCCAAAACCAATCCATCCATTGATCCGTTCATCCATCCATACATCCATCCATCCATCCATCCATCCATCCATCCATCCATCCATCCATCCATCCATCCATCCATCCATTCATCCATCCATCCATCCATCCATCTATCCATCCATCCATCCATTTGTCCTTCCCAATCCAATGCAATCTGTCCATTTATCCATCTCAATCCATCCATCCAATCAAAATCCATTCCAATCTAGTCCATCCAATACAATCCATCACCATCCCAATCCAATCAAATCACGTCCTATCCCAATCCAATCCATCCATCCACCCATCCAATCCAATTTCATCCAATCCAAATCCTTTCAATCCAAGTTCATTCAATTCAAATCCTTCCTAATCCAACCCATCCTAAAACCTGTCCATCCATCCATCCATCCAAATCGAAATGCAAAACCAATCCAACCATCCATCCTTCTATCCATCCGTCCATCCGTCCATCCATCCATGCATTCATCCATCCATCCATCCATCCATCCATCCATCCATCCATCCATCTATTCATCCATCCATCCATCCATCCATCTATCCATCCATCCATCCATCCATCCATCCATCCATCCATCCATCCATCCATCCATCCATCCATCCATCCATCCAAATCCAAAACTAATCCATTCATCCATTTATCCATCCCAATCTAAATTCAAAACCAATCCATCCAAATCCAAAACCAATCCATTCATCTATCCTTCCCTCCATCTATTTGTCCTTCTCAATCCAATGCAATGCAATCTGTCCATTCATCCATCCAATCTAAATCCATCCAATCCAAATCCATTCAATCCAAGTTCATTCCAGTCCAGTCCATCCAATTATATCCATCCCCATCGCATCCCCATCCAATCCAATCAAATCACATCCTATCCTAATCCAATCCTTCCATCCATCCATCCATCCATCCATCCATCCATCCATCCATCCATCCATCCATCCATCCATCCATCCATCCATCCATCCAAACCAATACAATTCTATCCAATCCAAATCCTTTCAATCCAAGTCCATTCAATCCAAATCCTTCCTTATCCAACCCATCCCTAAACCAGTCCATCCTTACATCCATCCAAATCCAAATGCAAAACCAATCCATCCATCCATCGAATCTATTCATCCATTCGTCATCCATGCTCATTCCAATCTAATTAAATCCCATCCCAATCCAACCACAATACCAATCCAATGCAATCCAATACAATCCAATCCAATATAATCCAATCCAATCCAATCCATTAATTATAGTAATAGTAAGTTATGTTTTTAAAGTTCATAGTTTCACAAGTTTAGCCACTGAAAAAATTCAGCATAACTCAAGGCACGTTGTTGTGACTGGTGTGGTAATGCGTGGTATGGAGGCGATAAATTGTAAGGCGGAAAACCATGTCCTGTTTCTCCACAAATAACATATCGCAAATAATTGACTTTTGAGAAGACTGCCATCTGCTGTAGCGCGTGTAACCCATCGCGAACACACTCAGAGAGTCCTTTGGGCTCTCTTTGCAAGGATGTCTGCTTTTGTCGCCATCACTGTGGAAATTGGCCAGTCCACCTGAGCAAGCAGATGTTGCCGTCTCCTCTGGGTCCAATGAGGAGGTACATCCACATTAGGTGCAGAGTGCGTTTTCTACCAGGACACTAGGGAGAAACTGCCTCCAAACTATTCTGATGAGTAATTAACTGAGGATTCCAAATAACTAAACAAATATGTTTATCATATTTTTTTGAAACATAGACATATTGATGGGAGTGATTTGGGGCTTTTTGGCTGTTCATCAAGTGATTTTTCAATCTAATGAAAAGAAAACTTGCTTATATTTTCATACTTCATCAATTTGGGTCTTGAGATTTCAATTGCAATACATATTTTTACAGGTAATTTTCTAAAATGTATAAATAAAATCTTCCTACACTAAACTATAAATGTCAGTGTCAGTAGATATAAATACCGGGTTATTCATAATTATATAATGCATGTATTTAGAGAGAGATGTGTGCATACAGTACTTCATTCATTAATTTATTTAGTCATTAGTCCCAGAGGTCGCCACAGCCGAACGAAACACTATCTATTTCGGCATATGTTTTATGCAGTGGATGCCTTTCCAGCCCTTCCATCATTCACACACACACACACACACACACACACACACACACACACGCACACACACACACGCACACACACACACACACACACACACACACACACACACACACACACACACACACTCATACACTAAGGCCACTTTAGTTTATCCAATTCACCTATAACATCTGTTTGTACTGTGGGAGAAACCACAGCACTTGATGTGAACCCATGCCAACACGGAAAAACAAGCAAATTCTTCACAGAAATGCCTACCATTCCAGCCGACATGCGAACCATAGACCAGCTTGCTGTGAGGTGACAGTGCTAACCACAGAGCCACCGTGCTGCCACCATACAGGATTTAATTTGACATATTATCCGTCCATCCATCCATCCATCCATCCATCCATCCATCCATCTAAATGAATTCAATCCAATCCATCCAATTCAATCCAATTCAATCCATCCCATTCCATCCCATCCCATCTCATCCCACCTCATCCATCTAATCCAATATATATCCAATATACATCCAGTCCAATACATCCAATGCATCCCATCCATCCATTCATCCAAATCAATGCAATCCAATACCATACCATCCCATCCCACCCATCCAATAAACTCCATTCAATTCCATTCCATCACATCCTATCCATCCATCTACATGTAAATGAATTTAATCCAATTCATCCATACAATCCAATTCAATCAATCCCATTCCATTTCATTCCATCCATCCCATCCCATCCCATCTCATCCCACCTCATCCATCCAATCCAATCATCCAGTCCAATACATCCAATGCATCCATTCCATCCAATCCTATTCATCAAATCCAGTCCATCCATCCATCCATTCCAATCCTCCAATCCAATCCAATTATCAAATTTAATCATCCAATCCATCCATTCAATCCAATCCATCCAACAAAATGTAATCAATTCAATCCAATTTAATCCATCCATCCATCCATCCATCCCATCCCACCCCATCCCATCTATTCAATTCAATCATCCAATCCAATCATCCAATGCATTGAACCCATCCATCCATCCACCCATCCATCCATCCATCCATCCATCCATCCATACATCCAATCATTTAATTTAATCATCCAATCCATCCATCCTTCCATCCATCCATCCATCCATCTATCCAATCATCAATCCGTCCGTCTGTCCAATCCAATCCAATCCAATCCAATTCAATTTAATCATCCAATCTATCCATGCATTTTTTTGTTAGATGCTCAAGTGATAAAAAACAAATATTTGCACAATTTCCTCTTTAAAATAATAAAGATGTCAAACATACATTTAAACAAAAAATTTAATCAAGTGTTTGAATTGTCTACTAAATTAGTGCGCATACTAAGAAATAATGCTATTATTTAAACATATCATTTCCGAATACTTATTCTAGACAGGTTCGCAGTTCTTAACTTAACAACCTGCTTAAGAGTCTTGCTTTATTAGTTAACTTTGAGGTTATTTGGGAAATTAGCCATATTAAAGCAAATATTGAATTGTAGTACCTGCAATGGGAACTTTTTTATGGTCAGTGGTCAGCGAGGCAATTTTTTTTCCTGATGTGATGAAAAATCAGCAAGAGTGTCGTTCACCCTTTACACTGACCCTCTCCTCGCACCATATGGTAGATTTATGAGGTGTCTGGCTGACTGATAGATCTCATTTTCCTCAGGTAAACTAGATGGCTTCTTCCCGGAGGACAGCTTCATAGACATGGGCGAGATAGACGTGGGCCGCAAAGTGGCTCAGCTGATCCCGCCTGGAATCTTTTGGAGGTCGCAGGTCTTTATTGATCACCCAATGTACCTCAAATTCAATGTGTCCCTTAGTAAAGATGCCTTGGTGGGGATCTACGGGAGGAGAGGACTGCCACCGTCACACACACAGGTCAGTTTTTATTCGTTTAAAGGGATAGGTCACACAAATTTTCATTTACTCATCCTCTACAAGTTCCAAACCTGAGTTTCTTTCATCTGTTGAACACAAAGGAAGATATGCTATTTTTCGGAATATCTTTCTCTGCATTCAACAGAAGAAAGAAATTCATAAAAGTTTGAAATCACTTGAGTATTAGTAAATGACGAGGACATTTTGATTTTGAATGGTCTGTCCATTTAATGTAAAATGTGGGTATTTCTTACTTTGAGAGTAATTAAATTAATTTAATGAAATTAGTTGGCTTAAAATGTATGGAGAAGAATGAAGATTTGGAGATTCAAGCCAGAATTAAAACCTTGTTTGTTAGACATATATTTATTGCTGGATTTAATGTTATGATTTAGACATGATTGTAAATAAATTGGGGGACTGTTCTGAGTAGAATCAAAACCACTTGTTGTACATGGAGCAAGCATGTTAAACTCCAGCCACAAACATGTTGACATGTTTACGTGTTTACATAATTCATTACCTTACTACATTCTGAATTGTATAGTTTATGAGAATCTAGACAGCATTGGTAATATATCAGAAGGACTTTTTTGCATAGAATCAAAACCATGTTGTGTATGGAACATGCATGCTATCCAATAATTATTGCATTTTTAAAATTGAATGAAAACTAGATGGAATCGTAAAAATATCAAAATACCATTCTCATTCAGATCAAATACACTTAGCTGAATAGCGTACTGCTGCATTCCAAACACCGCCAGAGCTAAGAATTTCAGCCATGAACTATTCCTCTTCCAATCTCAATGCATTCCAGTTAGTTGCACCTTACAGTTGAAATATTTTAAAACAATTTGTTTTATTGTGTCAGTTATGACTAAAACAAGTAAAATGGTAAATGCTAGCTGTCCTTTAAAAACAGCTGACAAAAAGTACCATTATAGATTTCTAAAAAGCTAATATCATGTTTGAAATAGTATTAGTAGAGTTATTAATCGTTTTGGGCTGTAATGAAAAATGCATTTTTTATGTGTCACATGCTGTAAGGTAGCTCCACGCTAATCTTGTTGAAGCAGAACTAGCGGCCATGTGTGAAGTGATGTCAAATGATGCATTTTGCTGAAGTCAGGCTGCTTGGATCTAGACGTTATTTACAAGTAGAAAGTATGCCTATAGGAGAATACCCTACACCAGGGGTCACCAACCCTGTTCCTGGAGAGCTACCTTCCTGCACATTTTAGTTGCAACCCTGACCAAGCACACCTGTTTGTAATTATCAAGTGCTGTTTTAGGTACTATTAATTGGTTCAGGTGTGTTTGAGCAGGGTTGGGACTGAATTCTGCAGGAAGATGCTCTCCAGGAACAGGGTTGGTGACCCCTGCCCTACACTCTCAGAAATAAAGGTATGGACGCTGTCACTGGGGCAGTACCTTTTTAAAAGATACATATTTGTACCCAAATAGTCCACAGTGGTACCTAAAAGGTGCATATTAGTACCCAAATGTACCTAAAAACGTACTTTTGAGGTACCATTATGGACCCTTCAGGTACAAATATGTACCTTTTGAATCGGTACTGCCCAAGAGACAGCTCCCGTACCTTTATTTCTGAGAGTGTATAGTAATTTAGAGTTTTGCAATCATTTGCTATTTACGAAGTGTTAATTGTCAATATATATAGTTTTTCTGCACAGATTCTGTAGGTTGTTCTGACCAGAATCAAAGTTACTTGTTGTTAATAAAGAGTGTATGCTAATCATCAGGTTTTACATATAAAAAAAACAACAACTTGCTATTGTTTATGCTATTCTTGATTAAATCCAAACCACTGGTGCTAAACAGAGTATGTAAGGTAGCTTCTATTTTGTTTAATTATTGTTATTTTTATATTTGTAACATTGAATTTAATAGCTTATTTAAAAGTAAACAGAATTACAATGATATCAGAAAGCTATTCTGTCACAAATAAATACCAGTTATAGGTATGCTATATGCCTTTTTTTGCTCTGAATTTGATCTGAAAATGTTGTCTTTTATTGTTTATGTTGGGTAGTTGCTTACAAAAGAAATAGGAGGCACTTCTGGTCAGAATCTAAACTACTTTTATTACAGTAAAAGTTAGTACTATTTTACTTTAGTAGTCATGCTAAACTGCTATTAAATCGAATCTGTGTGCTAAGTGTGCTAACTTGTAAATATTAATTATTCATTGATTGATTGATTTAAAATCTTTAAAGCTATTAAAACTATTATAAACTTGTTTCACAATTGTGTAAAATTGAAATTGATAGCTTATTTAGAAGTAAACAAAACTATTCTGGCACAAATATATACCAGTTGTATATGGTACAGGTATGTTAACTGCTAAATGCTAATTTTTAATATTTTGCTCAGATTTTTTATCTGAAAATTTAATATTTTACCGTTTTTGTTGTGTAGATGATTACAAAAGTATTGGGAGGCACTTCTGGTCAAAATCCTAACTACTTTTATTGCAATAAAAGTTAGTACTATTTTACTTTAGTATAGTAATGCTAAACTACTGCTAAATAAATACTAATTTGTAAATAATTACGTACTGATTGATTTAGAGTCTTTAAAGCTCACAAAATATAAAAATGTTCCACAATTGTGTGACATTGAAATGGATAGCTTATTTAGAAGTAAACAAAACTACAATGACTATTCTTGTACAAATAAATACCTGTTGTATTACATTGAACAGGTATGCTAACTGCTAAATAAATCTTTTATATTTTTGCTCAGAATTGTACCTGAAAATAATATCTGTAGGGTAGATGATTACAAACGTATTGGGAGGCAATTCTGATCAGAATGTAAATTATTTTTATTGTAGCAAAAATTAGTACTACTATTTTACTTTAGTAATGCTAAACTACTACTAAATTAAATATGTGTGCTGAGTGTGCTAACTTGTAAATAACAATTATTCATTGATTGCTTGATTTAGTCTTTAAAGCTGGCATAAATATTATAAAACTGTTTTACAATTTTGTACAGTGAATTGGATAGCTTATTTAGAAGTAAAGGAATTACAATGACATCAGAAGCCTATTCTAGGAACAAATAAATACCAGTTATATTAAATGGAATAGGTATGCTAACTGCTAAATGCTATTTTTTGTATCTTAAAATGTTATCTTCTGATTGTTTATGTTGGTCAGAGGATTACAAAAGTATTGGCAGGCACTTCTAGTCAGATTCTAAGCTACTTTTGTTACACTAAAAATCAGTAGCCTACTACTATTTTACTTTAGTAGTAATACTAAACTACTAAAAAGAGTATGTGTGCTAAGTGTGCTAACTTGTAAATATTAAATATGAATTGATTGATTGATTTAAAGTCTTTAAAGCTCACAAAAATATTATAAACATGTTTCAAAAATTTGTAACAGTGAATTTGACAGCTTATATATTTTATAATTGAACTGAATAGCTTATTTAGAAGTAAACAAAACTACAATGATATCAGAAGGCTTCTGGTCCAAATTAATTGTTGTTTCAAATAAAACAGAAATGCTAACTGTTAAATGCAAATATATATATATGTATATATATTTATTTTATTTTATTTATTTATTTTTTTTGCTCAGCATTTTATCTGAAAATGTTGTATTTTATCGTTTCGGTTGTAGATGATTACAAAGATATTGGAAGGAACTTCTGGTCACAATCTAAGTCTGAGTCTTTAAAGTTTGCAAAAAATATTATAAACATATTTCACAAACATTCTGCCATTAGTGAGATGATTCTGCGGCACAAACTTACACCCCTAGATCAATTACTGGGGTTGTGTTTTGTGTGTGTGTTCTTATTAAACTGGTATTGGAAGTCTTTTAACAAATGACGCACTTTAGCAAGCAGCCTTACATAAAAATTATTTTCGTCAAAAGCTTTTGAGCCTAAATAATTAAATAAGATATGAATTATCTGGTTCAGTTTATCTGTCCACCCTTTCATCTGCCAATAGGTTATTGAAGTAGCATATTCCCTCCAGATTTCATTTCATTTCGTGGCATCTTATCGTCTCAAAGATTCATCTCAAAGGCTTTGACATAAGCAGACACTTAATTTCAGTATTGAACACAGATCTTCTCTCCCTCCCTGTATTGATTTGGTTCATATGTGCAGTTGTATTGTGTCACTGGAAATTACTCAAAGAACTTGGTTGATAGACTCTTTCAATTGAAACCTGCTAAGCAATTGAGACTCGCTATATATATATATATATATATATATATATATATATATATATATATATATATATATATATATATATATATAGAGAGAGAGAGAGAGAGAGAGAGAGAGAGAGAGAGAGAGAGAGAGAGAGAGAGAGAGCAATCAACGAACGGTGAGAGTCATTTTATTCAAAATGTATTAACAAATACTGTACAACAAATGCACATATTTAAATGTGACTTAATTATTTAGTGCACCTGTCCAACTGCTCATTAGCGCAAATTTCAAATCAGCCAATCACATGGCAGCGACTCAATGAATTCAGGCATGTAGACTTGGTCTGCGTCCGAAACCGCATACTTCCATACTATATAGTATGCCAAAATCAGTATGCGAGCCGAGCAGTATGTCCGAATTCATAGAATTCGAAAATCAGTATGCGAGAAGTACCCGGATGACTTACTACTTCCGGCGAGATTCCTGAGTGCGCATCCCATGCATGCTGCACTATCCCATGATGCCCCGCGAGCGAATTCATGAATGGAAGTAAAGCGATGCAACTGATGCAGGTAGGTCATGTGACCATGACAAGATGGCAGATGTAGTACGTCTGAATTCCATTCATACTTTTCACATTCATACTGTATAGAACGTACTTTTCTAACAGTCGAGTAGTACGTTTAAATTCAAATGCAGTACCTACTGAGTAGTTGGCGGTTTCGGACGCAGCCTTGGTCATGATGATCTGCTGCAGTTCAAACCGTAAATTAGAATGTGGAAGAAAGGTGATTTAAATTACTTTGAACATGGCATGGTTGTTGGTGCTGGTCTGAGTATATCAGAAATTGCTGATCTACTGGGATTTTCACACACCACCATCCCTAGGCTTTACAGAGTATGAAAAACAGAAAATATCAAGTGAGTGGCAGTTCTGTGGGCGCAAATGCCTTGTTGATGCCAGATGTCAGGGGAGAATGGCCAGACTGGTTCCAGCTAATAGAAAGGCAACTCAAATTACAACTGAGATACGCTGAAGAGCATCTCTGAGGACACAACATGTTGAACCTTGAGGTGGATGGGCTACAGTAGCAGAAGACCACACCTGATGCCACTCTTGTCAGCTAAGAACAGGAAACTGAAGCTACAATTTGCACAGACTCATCGAAGTTGGACAATTGAAGATTGGAAAAAAGAAGCATGGTTTGATGAGTATTGTTGCTGACCATATCCATCTTCTGATGGCTACTTTCAGCAGAAAAACATACCATAAAGCGCAAATCATCTCAGACTGGTTTCTTGAACATGATGATGAGTTCACTGTATTGAAATGATCTCCACTGTCACCAGAACTCAATCCAATAGAGCACATTTGGAATGTGGTTGAACGGGTGATTCACATCATGGATGTGCAGCCTGCAAATCTGCAGCAACTACGTGATGCTATCATGCCAATATAGAACAAAATCTCTGAGAAATATTTCCAGTACCTTGATGAATCTATTCTATGAAGAATTGAGGCAGTTCTAAAGACAAAAGTGGGATCCAACTAAGTATTAGTAATGTGTACCTAATAAGTTGGCGTTTAGTGTATATTATCAATGTTAAGTTGCATCGAGTAAGGGGTAACTTAAAAAAGGTGGGAGGGCTTTAATGCTAAATACAGCCCCTGTTGCTGTTGTGAACTGTTGTTGTTGTGTATATATGGAATTATATATGTGAACATAGCTAATCCAGTCTTAATTGGCTTTAGTTATCTTATTTATTCAGATAGCGCTATAATTTCAACTTTGTTTTTCAATGTAGAGGTGAAACACAATGATGTGAAAAATTCAATGTTATGCATATGTATATATATGTATTTTTTGCATAAACTGATGCTGTCCTTTCACACCTACCATTAGTCCTCTTTTCGCCTTCAGAGACTAGTCCCTGTTGGCTTCGATATGTAGGACTTATCAGCTCCTGCAGGCTCATGTGTCAGTCCTAATGCTTGTTTGTGGTCTGTCTGTCTCTCCTTGTCTCCAGTTTGACTTTGTGGAGCTGTTGGATGGTCGTCGGCTTCTGTCGCAAGGCTTGCCAGGTCTTGATGGTCCGCCTTTTCCAGCCCAGCAGCGGAGCCTGGTGCCTATCACCAGTCATGATACAGGATTTATACAGTACATGGACTCGGGAATCTGGCACTTGGCTGTATACAATGATGGGAAGGAGACTGAGCAGGTGTCCTTTCTAACAACTGCAATCGGTTAGTATGAAACCGCATATATTGCAGAGCTGAAAACTTTGCTTTAAATATTTGAAAAGGTGTAACTGTAAAGGGGTCATGACACCCTCTACTTTTGGTTCAGTACTACCTTAGAAATTTTTTCAAAAGATGCATCATACCAGGCGTGGAGCTCTGCAAGGAAAGGTGCAGGAGTAGGCGTGGCCAGCAGGGGAGAAGGAGAGGAGTAAACAAGTATTGTTAGTTAGCTCACAAAATGAGACACAAACCGTGAGGAGACGCATGATTTTATAGTTTACAAAGTTAAAATGCAAAGAAATAAACAGTAATTTAATGCCCTGCTACATTTCGTCACCTTAGAATTATAAGGTTCTATCTGCATTCTGAATGATTTTGAGATATTGAGCTTCAAAGTTTTTGCATTCCATATAGCAAACAATATGTGTGTAACAGTTCTCTTTCATACAATAACATGACAGAGACCCTAAGGGTTCTCTAAATGCAAATGATCAAAGTTCTCTTACACTTGCAAATTGGAGTAAATAAACCACGGTAAATGCAGATAGAACCTTCTCATTCTGAAAAGTCATTTTCCGCTTGGAATTATAAGGTTCTATCTGGCAGATCATTCATTGAAGCATTACTTTTCAAGAAATACAATCAAAAAATATGTAAGTTGGTGTAGTAACAATATGTTGCAGACTAAATGTAAACAAATAAATATATTTTACATTTAATATATAATTTTTTTAATATTCATCTCTTTTTCAACAATATAAAATGTAACATTTCATCTCAATGCTGGCAACGCAGTGCCACAGTGGGTAGCACGATCGCCTTACAGCAAGAAAAACACTGGTTTGAGCCTCAGCTGGGTCAGTTGGCATTTCTGTGTGGAGTTTGCATGTACTCTCTGTTTTGCTGTGGGTTTCCTCCGGGTGCTCCAGATTCCCCCACAAGTCCAAACACATGCAGTACAGGTGAATTGGGTAAGCTATAATTGGCCATAGTGTATGTGTGTGATTGAGTGTGTATGGGTGTTTTCCAGTGGTGGGTTGCAGCTGGAAAGGCATCTGCTGCGTAAAATATATGCTGGATAAGTTGGTGGTTCATTTCGCTGACATGACCCCAGATTAGTAAAGAGACTAAGCTGAAAAGAAAATGAATGAATCTCAATGTCAAGAAATGCTTCTAAATCATTACCTTTTCACACATTTGCCTCAATTTTGTGTGGTGCGGCATTTTTTAGCTGACTCTGATTTTGCGTGATTTTTGTCTTCCTGGTGTTTCCCGCTGTCAATGGAGCAGTTCAGTGAAATGACAAAGAAAATTGATCCTGATTGGTCCTCGTGCGTGCATTAAAAATGCTGATTGGCTTACAGAAAGAACCTTATAGAGCCAAGCTAGAGTTCAACTTTGTAGATAAACCTTTTTTGTTTTTTAAATAAAAAGTTATAAAATGTAAACAACATATAAAAACACATCACATAATGTAAATAAGTTGTCATTTAATAAGAATATGTGAATAACTCAATTTTGACAAAAATGTCAGATAGAACCTTGTAATTCTAAGGTGATGATTTGTTATTCAGAATTTCATATACAGATAACCACAGTTTAAATCATTATATAGATAATCATGTTCATATAAACACAATGAAGACTTTTCCTTCAATCACAGAGTCTGAATTATAGGTCTGAATGCAGATTCAGTGCAGCAGGTCTCTTGTCCTGTCTATTTTAATCATTAGCCCTGTTGGTAATCTAGAGGATTTAGGCAAACACAGCAGTATGGGGATGTGTCTAAATGTGAACAAATTCCTGATAAAATACAACATCCGCCATTCTCCAATTCTCGTACCGCTCTCCTGACAAAAGTGCTTGCTGCACACAAACAGCTTTGATGTATTAACCTTGACAGCATTGCGGGGAAAAACATGCAACAAACCCCGTGGATCATGGAAACAAACACATACGACCCTTCATGAACAGCTAAATACTGTGTGCCGTGGGTCCGTGTCTCTCAGCTTGTCACTGGCAGGTCTGCCTTGCCTTCGGAAAGCACGTACAGTCATGAATAATTAAAAAGCCGGCTCTTCTTATAGGATAAGAAAACTCCTCTATGAATAATAATGAGAAACCGATGTGTCATCTTTGCACTTGCACTTTTGCGCTACGTCGCCGATTTAGATCCCGTGACAAAAAATATTTTAAACCCGAAAGCAGAAATTAGCTGACAAATTTATCCAGTTTTTCCCCACAATTAAAGCTAACAGGTGCTAAAATCTCAAAAAAGTACAACCTTTAAATGATCAAATGTCATTGTTTAAAAGAATGTCTGCATGGGAGATTTTGTTCAATGAACATGGATGTCTGATTCAAACTTTGATTGGTTCAAGTCACATTTCAACTTGGCTATGGTATTGAAATACAGTTTTATGTATAACCTGCCATTGATATACCAATCTTAAAACTTTATTTTCCCCCTTTACTGGCATGGAACACAATGTAGTTTAATTTGTGTAGTCAAATAGTAGTCTTCCGAAAAATATTTCCAATATGGTTTCTTCATAGTTTCAGAGATAGCAGTTCAGAAAGAAATGAAACTGCCACACCACTGTTTGTTTGTCAAAAACAGCAGGCAATTCATTTGGAAGTTTTCTTTTTGGCATGCAGTCTAAAACTGCATTAATAAACACATTCACAGAATCAGACAGCACCAAAAATCAATCTGGTTTGAACATTGAAACAGTAACCTGATTGCTATAATATTATTCAATACATTCTTGTTTTAACAGTTTGCCATTGGTTCAATGGCATGTCAGTTTACACATTGAAAAAAAGTTAAAGTGGTAACAAAAATCTCCATCTTTAAAATATCAAATAAAGTTTAAATTGTCATCATATGGACATTATTGGCCAAGGCCTTCTTCTATATATATATATATATATATATATATATATATATATATATATATACATACATACATACATACATATTATATGTATGTATGTATGTATGTTGGTTTGGCATTCATTGCCAGTTTGTCAACTGAAATAATATTTTCAGATAGATTTAGTCTAAGCATTTCACAAATCTAAACCATTTACAGACAATTTCCACCCATGAGGTTCTTATTTACTGTGGTAGAGGCAATGTAAGGTCATCATTTCAATTGGAACCTTGCCTTGACAGTTTGGTGCTGATTCATTGACATTCCGATTTGCAAATTGAAACAACAATCTCAATTTGTGCAGTCATCTCAAACCTAAACAATCTTAAACCTTAAATGGCTCTGACAGACAATCTAAGCCAAAATTATTCATTTTTTCCTCCCTGAACCAAATATGAATAAGTCATTGACAGAAATCTTTTCCTGCAACCGTGCTACTTGTCAGAGCCTGCCATCACTGATATTACCCTTTTTTTTTTGCATCGCCATCTCATCCAGCCTAGACCTCTACAGGGTAATCAAGGTGGATTTGAATAAGAAAGATTGCGGAAATGAGCAGTGCTTCACTATGCCTGCGTGTGTTCTTCACTGATGGCTCGTAAGACTCTTGTTAGTTTTTGAGTGCCTCCCAGCAAATCCTGCTTCCCATTTGCTGTCTATTTGCATAGAACACAGTGGCCTTGATTCAAAGCTTCTGATTGACGACCCATCTATTCACCCGTGCATATTATTGGTCATTATTTAATCATATTCACGTGCATCTTTTTTTTTTTTTTTTTACTATGAAAGACTGCCTTCTTTTCCGCAACTGATGGAGGCGATTCTGATTTTGTCCTTTCTGTTCTGCGTCCTGAAAGCGGCTTTGATTAGCATGAGCGCGTCTACAGGGAGGGCAGAGCTGGAGGCCGTGGTGAGGTTTCAGCTTTCGTGGAGGTGGCAGCTGGGAGCTGTTCTCACATGCTCTTTAATTAAACGCTCCTGGGCCATGGTCCATCTGTGACGAGAGGGAGGAGGGGTTTGCCATCCTGTCGATCGATTCGAATGTGTCTGCCACACATCCATTTGTGTGGTTCCAGCTCGTCCGGGGGAAAGACGGCACTGCGCCCTTCCACCCCAAGTGAAAATACGATACTGCGTATACGAGACATGACATGGTGGTTTAGGGTGGCGAAAGATGATGAGAGGAGGAGACGGTCTGTTTATCCTGTGTTTCGTCCTCTTGGATGTAACCTCCGTTGGGAATTCGTTGGCCACCTGCGGTTTAGGGCCATGACGGTGGGCTTCATAGAAAGAGGGTCTAGAATAGGAGTCACGCCTGAGTTGATTTGACTCTGAGCTGTGGAGCTCAGAGGGAGGCAGAAGGGAGAGGTGAAGAAAGAGGAAAAACGAGACCGAGAGGGTGAGAAAGACCGGAAGAATCTAGGTCAGGCGGATGGCGACCTTCAGGGGATTCAAACCTTACCCAGTTTGCAGTACAGAGTGTCACACTGGAGTTGGTATTTTACCCTTTAAAGCTGCTTTGTTATCCCTGATTAAAATGTAGAAGCAGCTCTTGGTAAGCACTGAGACATTTTCAAAACATTAACATTGTTTTGTCTTTACCTCACTAGTCTATACCAGCAATGCTGGTTCATTTAATGAACTCAGATCAGATTGTGACACTCAGTTTGTTTGACCAATCACAGACTGGAAGGTGCTGGGGTAAAAATGATCATTTATGTTTCCACTATTGGTATCTAATTGCACAAATCTGCTATAATAAACTAAATTATACTCAAGAAAAAGTAAAATTAAGAGAAAATTGCCCTTTTAGACCTTAGAAATCTACTTCTTGTCCTGCGGTGGTTAGTGCATAAACAATACACTCGCCCTCTCATTGTGTCGATGTCCAATTGTCCTTTCAGGGATTATTTTGTTATACACGTCTGGATGTATTACAAAATAAGCTTATGTTTATAAGCTTATGTGTGTGTATTTCGTCTCATATAGTGTTAACTTTTTATAGTGTTTATTTCTCCTATTCACACAAGTCCATAAAAAATCAGTAAGGCGGTTTGCCACTGAAAT